ACTATTATACCAACACTGTGGCAATTAGTAATCTATTGTGAATACAATATTAACAATCACTGTAAACAATTATTGAATTTGAATGAGCATTCAATAGCAATCATAATATTAAATGCACTAAGTTTAAACAGAATCAATTCAATATACCTGAATCAAATCATGAAGACTACTTGAACAAAATGCTTATCTTCCTTACACCATACGAACGGAAATAAGCTAAATTGGGATAAGTACATTATATATTAGTACTGCTTCTTTAACGTTGTTTATTGCAAACATGGAAACTGTACAACAATCGTCCAAGAACCATTATGGCGATATAATTAACGTTATATAACTAGATAGAGGCTGTTATCAACTTTATTTAATTTTAGTATTGACTATTAATATGTTATCAATATTATTACTTATTGACTAACAAGAACAGATAGACGTCATAACATTGCAAGTTTAGCCAAAGTATCAAATACTATAGTGTACTAACACATGTTTAACAACTAAAACAAAACACGTTCCTTCTATGAAAACCAAATATCTTCTAACGCAGCGACCGATGAAAATGTATTATAAAGAGTAAGCCACCTGATATGCAAATTGCAAATAACGATCTATGCAGAAGTGTGCAGCGATCCATACAACAGCAAAACAATAGGGAACGCAACAAAAACATTATTCCAGTCCACGACATAATTAACAGATACCACTTCTTTCATAAAAGATGTTTCGAATCACCAGCAAAATAAATATAAATAACATAGGCCTAAAAATGAAATTAATACAGCTTTGAATTACTCATACAACAGAACCATAAGATATTAGATCTTTCAATAAGTTACAGATCGAAAAAAAACTAATGATTGTTTTACTATAAAAATTCTTAAATTACTAGTATAAACATTAATTGACGAGCAACGTCTCTTTATAATTTTCACCCGAAAGCCAAACACATTGAAATAAACAAAACTAAAACTTTTAAGTTTTCATATTGTAGTACAAAGGGTTTTGATAGTATATTATTGAAAATGAAACTATTGATAACGCACGCATTACGGAAGAATACTGAAGGCCACATTTTATGCACGTTCCTTTACTGTAAATTTGATTTCCTTTATTTTCGTTCGTATTAAGTAAATTTTCCATGACTCAAGAGAAATCGTTACAATTACCAAACTATTGTAATATTTACTAATAATCATCAAACTAATTGTTAAACTAGGTTAAACTAAACTAAAACCCCAAATATTAGATAAATAATTTATGGTACATTTGTACTTGTTTATGGTCAAATTTCTTCTCTTGTTGTTGTTAAGCGCCCATGGATGCCCCCCCCCCCCCCCCGCCCTCCGTCAGGGAGAAAAACCACAAGTCGTCGGGGAGAAAAACAATTTATATGGATTTTCTACATATTAGTAGACTCTAAAATCGATTAAATAATTCCTTTGAAACCCCTAAATTGTCAAGATTTTCGGGGGTTCTGCCCCTCGGACCACTTTCGGAACATATTAAGTGACGATCGACCACGCTCACTTTGCTCTCGTCAGGGAAGTATGCTCCCTCGTCAGGGACCTCGGACCTCCCGTCGCGCAAATCCTGGCGTCAGCCCTGTAAGCGCCTCGAGGTTGTGACAACGTGCGCCGATATATATATCTATAATTATTTATTATTACATATAGATGTGTGACCTATCAAAATGTCTAGGGGCCTACTCACGAAAGTTTCCATCAGTCTTGCCATGAATGCACCGCGTCCTAAATCACTGTATATAGTGAAAAATTGAGGCAAGCATGTCGGGATACTGAATTAACGCGGTCTTTTAAGATTGTAATTTGCATCAAAACCTGTAGGTAATAATTAATGATTTAATCTGTGATTAGAGTCTTTGATTTTCCCTACACAGTCGAACACGACGCTTTTCTATGTTGGCGTTTCAAGCACATACCGAGTTCAATTATAACTAGCACCAGGAAGGATAAATGTTAAGGCTATAACTCGTGTTTTGCTGTGGCCACTACAAATTCACTGTTCTAACTTAGAGGTATTTTCAGTATATTCTACTTATTTTGGCCCGTCTCTCTTGTTTTGTAAAGTATTTTTTGTTTGTCTTTTCTCATTAATGGTAGGCCCGTCTTTCTTTAGTATATTGATTATAGTGACCCAGTCCCTTCATTGTGGTGAACTTTGTCAATTTCTTAGGCTAGGCCTTTCCCTTGTGACTTAAATGTAAATAATATTAGAAGGTTAATTGTAAATACCTGAGTTAGGATACTTTAGTTCTATATTGTAATTTGAATTATATTGATTTCAATATTGATAACTATTGTAAATAAAATTTAACAATTATATTTTTTTCAAGATTAATTATCATATATTAATTACTATGAATGAACTCAAGTATGGCCTGCAAATATTTCTTCAATTACGAAGCAAGCGGAAATTATTAGTTCTTTATTAATTTCTACTTTAAAACTCTTAGCATCTGGAAGATCGTATCCGTCGGGATGGTAGCTATATTAAACGACATATTCCAGTTATCTCTGGTAGCTTAAGACAATGTAGACCTAGACCTAAACCTAAAGTTAGAACCCTTATTTATTGTTTAACGCTGTCTCGTATTTCACCTGCTGGAATATTATTAACAAATGCAGGGTCACTTAATGATAAAATGGATGAGTATAGATGCTGTACTGGGCAACAGAATTAACATAGCAGCTGTAAAGCTGTAACTGAAACGTGGCTAAATTCTAACAGTGTTCAAGGTTCAAGCTTACGTAGACTACTCATGTTAAATGTAGCTCTGATAACGGACGACGGGGTGGGGGGTTTGCCTTTCATGTTCAAAATGATATTAATATAAAAGTAAGTGACATTCCACCGCCTATACATTGATAATGATGATTGCGAATTTTAATGCTTGTGAAAAAGATTTGACTTCAAAAGGTGTTGCTATTCAAACTTTATTCGCCGGTGTTATCTATTACCCGGCCCTCCCAATGTTACAAATGCCTCTGAGCTTCCTAGTCACATTACCCGTACAGTTGATAGCTTCAGGACCTATGATTCCTAAATAAGATTCCTAAATCATTGTTTGTGGCAACTTTAATGATCCTAATACTTCTGAGTTAGAGGCCAGTTTGTTTTGGAAACAGGTGGTTAACTTTTCTACCAGACAAACTGCACTCCTCGATAAGATATTTTGATAACATTCCAAATTTATTTACTGAAAAATGGCACTGTCCCTTATTGGCCGAAGTGACAATTTCTGTATATTAATATATGCAACCATTGTCAAATATGGCAAAAGTAAATCGGAATCCGACTCATTGTTCGTCACGTCCACAAGAGACTCATTGAGTCGTTTGGACAATGGATTACTGCATATAATTGGAACCATCTTGAAGTCTATGTAGACTCATCAGATGTTTTGAATGTCTTTAACCAGGAGATTAATGAGGTCTTTCAAAAAAACCATTCCTCAAAATTTCCACTATCAAACGTTTGACTGACAAACCCTGGTTTAATTTTAAATTAAGCAAATTGATTTTGAAGCTCCACAAGGAATATCAGAACGGACAATTTGTTTTATAGAGATCGCTGCGTTGCACTATAAAAAAGAAGTTAAATTCGCTGAGGCAAAATTACACATTTGAAGGGAAATCAACATGGATAATGGCACCGTAATATCCAGAAGCTTTGTAACATGAGAAAGAAACCAAATCAAATTCCTTGCGCTGATGTTGATTCTGTTTGCTTAGGCCATCGATTGCCATTTCTCACGCGTTTGTAATCAGCTTTCAGCATTAGATACCAGTGAACTTCCGGTGTTCATTCCAGCAAGAAAACTACCGATGTTTGGAGTCCTTTGAATTGTGTTTTGGCACTCGTCCAGAAGGCGTTCAAAATCAAAAATAATAATAAGTAATCAGACTCCAAACCTATCAAAAATAAATAAATAATACTGTGCAGGTGGAAAAGCCTTGCTATATCGATCTTACCAGAAACACACCAAAACAAAAAAATTATGTCAATGCCAGTATTATTATTTTGCTTTAGAAAATAATCTGTTTATTTATTTATTTATTCACGGTATAAAAATATAACACCAAAACAGGCTGAAATCGTTGGTTTACAAAAAATATATACATATATGTTATAAATATCAGAAAAAATTACACCAAAGGCAGCAACAATACAAAAAAAAAAGGAATTAATGAAATTCACAATCAAATTAAACTATAGAATAAATTATTGAAAAAAGTTATAAATACAAGGTCATAAAAATTAACAAATATTACAATCCATTTACTTAAAAATTTAATTTAAAATGAGAAATATATATACACAATCATCAAAATTTGCAAAATTTGCAAATTGACATAAAAAATCCTCAGAAAACAAGGAAAAAAAAGGAAAGGAAACAAATTACACACACACAAAAGAAAAAAAAACGCAGATACAAGACACCAGCAAAGGAACCATGTACGAGATTAAGATCAACTACTGCACTGAAATTTTACGTAATTAGCAATGTGTTTACCTATACTTATTTAGAATTTTACAAATAGTAAGAACCGGAGAATTTCTAAAACGGTTAGTCCTGCCAAAAGGGATATCAAGGGGGGCTTATTTGGGGAAATAGATCTAACCGCTCTTGTAACAACACGGTAATTGGGAAGGATATACCTATAGATGTCAGATTCCAAAATCTTCTTCCCAAAATTGAGGATAAGGGCTTCTCTCCTAACATAGAGAGTGGTGAGGTTTGTGCACTCAAGTGCAGCCTCATACGTTGAAAAAACGGGGCCTAAAATAATGCGCAGCACTCTTTTCTGCACCCTTTCAATACTTTTAACTTGAACTGTTTATGAAAGATATTAAAGATAATGAAAATATTAAGAAATATTATTCATTAGAAACCTCGTTTACTTTAACCCAGTAGCCTAATCGTTAAGATAAATTAAATGATTGAGTGATAAACGATTGCTGGCTTATATATTTCACAGGAACAAATTATTCAAGGCTATTGGTGAAAAAGATTGGAAAGCAGCAAGAATCATTTGTGAAAAGGAAGAACATCTTATTAACACTGTGAATCAGGTATGGCTGCCAACGAATCAATCTCTTGACGACGTCTGCATATTGTGTGCCTGAGCGAATCGTCATTAACGCTATGTGTTTGCCCGACTTAACATGCTTTTGGAGCCAATCTAAAATTTATATTTTTGATATTATCTGAAAAAGTATAATAAATGTACTATTTGACAAACTCATCTCAACAATGTTCACAATAATTTTCACACTACGATTTTTTTGCTTGATGAGGCAAAATTACACATTTGAAGGGAAATCAACATGGAAATGGCACCGTAATATTCAGAAGCTTTGTAACATGAGAAAGTAACCAAGTCAAATTCCTTGCGCTGATGTTGATCATGTCTGCTTAGTCCATCAATTGCCATTTCGCTCAGTAATAATTCCAATACCGAAATGTTCCCAAATAATAACTCTTAACGATTATCGACCCATTGCTTTAACCTCTGTAATAATGAAATGTTTTGAACGCATTGTTCTAACATACTGAAAGTCTGAGTGTCCGGTAAATCTGGACACTTATCAATTTGCGTATAGACCAAATCGTTCTACAGATGATGCCGTATCAATTACTCTGCATAAGGTCTTAGAGCACCTGGAGTGTGATAAACGATATTCAAGAATTTTATATATTGATTTTAGCTCTGCTTTTAACACGATAATACCTCACAAACTGCATGCAAAAATGACTAAAATAGGTTTTGATATATCCATTTGTAACTGGGTCCGTAATTTCCTCACTGATCGACCTCAGTTTACCAGAGTGGGTACCCTCGCCTCTAAAAAACAAATTATTAATACTGGTGTACCACAGGGGTGCGTCCTCTCACCCTTTCTTTTCACTTTGTTCACATATGATTGTGTAACAACGCTCCATAACTGCCACATAGCCAAGTTCGCTGACGACACCACCATTGTAG